CACACACACGCACACACAATGAAGACATTGCTTACCATTTTGATCGCTGGGCCACTCTTTTATGTCAGTATTAATGATTAGCCACCAAAAATATAGGAAATAACTACATTTTTTTTCTTTTGGGGCCAATCGGGGGCCTTATACTCAAGGTTTGGGCATAGTACCTGAGCCTTTTTGTTCAAGGCTAGCACTCTACCACCTGAGTTACACCCCCACTTCCAAATTTTTGGTGGTTAAATTGGAGATAGGAGTCTTATGAACTTTCCTGCCTGGGCTGGCTTTGAACCACAATCCTCAGATCTCAGCCTCCTGAGTACCTAGAATTATAAGTGTGAGCACCCATGTCTGGCTAATTGCTACATATTTTTAAAAATATATTTCTTATTTACTTTTTTTTTTTACTTTCTGAAGATAATTTATTGACATAATGATTGTACTTATTTGCAGGATACAATGTAATGTTTTGATATAAGCATGCACATGGTAATGCTCAAACCCAGGTAATTAATATGTTGTTCTCCTAAGCATGATTTCTTTTTGTGGTGAGTACCTTTAAAATCCTGTGTTCTAGCTACTCTGGGAAATAACCTAATTTACTTTTAACTGTAGACACCTGTCATTCAATAATCACCTGCATTTGTTTTTCCTAGTTGTTTCTTTGTATTCACAGACCAATCTCTTTTTAATTTTAATTCCACAGCTTCTTTCTTTCTTTCTTTTTTGTCAGTTGTGGGGCCTGAACTCGGCCTGGGTGCTGTCCCTCAGCTCTTCAGCTCAAAGTGAGCACTCTACCACTTGAGCCACAGCGCCACTTCCAGCTTTTTCTGGTAATGCGCTGCTGAGGAATGGAACCCAGGGCCTCATGCATGCAAGGCAAGCACTCTACCACTGAGTCACCTTCCCAGCCCTCCACAGTTTATTTCTTACACCAGAGAAATACTTTATTCCTTAGTGTATGCTTTACAAGTTTCCAGATAATTCTTACAATATGTTAAGCCCACACGATACTATAATCTCTTAAATTTTAGACAGCACAGTCTGGTCTTGCTGTTTAAAAATGAGACATCATAGTTTTAACTTCAGTCAGGACTCATGTCCAAGTTCTTTAATGACTGGCTGTTTGCCAATGGCCTTCCACTCAGCAGTTACAGCTCAGGATTGGTAGAAGTTTAAGAGATCAGTCAACTGCAGACCTTTGTCCACCAAAAAAAAAAGGGAGGAGGGGCTTATTTTTTTACTACGTTGAAAAAAAATCACTGTCAATTCATAAGGGACAATTATCAGAGAGCATCCCAGATTTTTAAAAGCTAGTACCTCTAGAAATGCTTACAATCATAGATTGTTCTTTATGTCTGATTTAATTGACTCCTACTAGTCATTAATCTCTACTGTGGTTTATATAATTGTCAGGATCTCCTTTGTGGTTTATATAGTTTTCATTTCGGGCATGTAGAAGTTGGATTTTGTATGTGTTATTAATTCTGTGAGCTGGCTATTGCAACCCATAAAGTTGTTAAGCAACTTTATACCTTCTCTTAGAATGTTAAAACCTAAAGAATAGAGGCGAAAATATGTAGAATAATTTTTGAAAATTCTTACTTGCATCTCTTATGAAAAATAATAGTTGGCGAACACAAAAATAATTTCATGGACATACCGACTTCATATATATATTTATATGTAAATAAGTATTTATAAATATATATTTATACACATATATATATTTAAGCCCGAGAAATCACTCACTGTAAACTAGCCATGGGAATGCTCTCGCTTGCTCTCCTGCTGAGCCTATACTGCCACAGTCAGTGGTATCAGCTCATGAGTGTGTTGGCATTTGCTCCTTTGCCTGCAGAAGTCTCTATTTTGTTTGTTTGGGGAGAGGGGGGGAGGCACCCTGGGGCTTGAATTCAGGGCCTGGGCACTGTCCCTGAGCTTTTTTGCTCAGGGCTAACGTTCTACCACTTGAACCATAGCTCTACTTCCTGCTTTTTGGGGGGAATTAATTGGGGATAAAGAGTTTCATGGCTTTCCTGCTCCATCTGGTTTCAAACTTCGATCCTCATATCTCAGCCTCCTGTCTAGCTAGGATTACAGGCATGAGCCAGCAGCAGGGGCCTCCTCTTTCAATGTTTCTAAGCATTGGAAAGAGAATGAGGCAGCCACGATGTGGTCTCAGAATACACACTCACACCTTTGCGACAGATTCCTCACTCACTGACGTCTTTAGTGCTGAACACTCAAGAGAATTTAAATATTACACTTGAAAATATGTTCTATCAGTTACTAGAATAGTGGATTTTGAAGTTTAAGCTCTAGAAACCCTAAAGCTCTTCTGGATAAAAAGGACACCAAACTCTACAGGATTTCTTACGGGTTTGGCCAAATTCTACTGCGCTGCTTGGGCCTGCAGTGTAAACATACCACAGAAAATGGCACTGCTATACCCTGAGGCTGTACAATTTTACTATGTGATGAAATGTCTCCATGTCAGGACAAACTATCCCAGTGAAGCTTTCAATCATGAGCCCAATGGATGGGTACAAAGTAAAACAGAGAGACTCTAAAGCAAAACGCAGCCACCCATTCTTTAGGAAGTTAAAGTAGAAGTAAGAAATCAGTTTTATTATTTCTTAAGTAGTTTGTCAGAACCCTGAACCTCTTTTGCATGTATTAGTTTTTGCCTTATTTCTTCCCCTCCTTCCTTTCCTCCTCCTCCTCCTCTTTTTCTTCTTCCTTTTCCCTTTTCTTCCTCCTCCTCCCCTTCTCTTCTTCCTCTTTTCCCTCCTTCTTTGGTAGTACTCAGGTTTGTAGGGCCTCATACTTGCTATGGCACACCACCATTTGAGCCACGTAAATCCTTTTTAATAATGATAGCTTCAGTTATTTTTCAAATAGGGTCTCATGGTTTTACCCCAACTATCCTGGACTTTGATTCTCTTATTTATTCTGAGTATGTGGATGACAAGTGAATACTACCATGCCTGACCCACACAAATCTTTTTGATACTAGCGTTTTACTCAAATAATATTTAAAAGCTGTTTGTTACTTTCTCAGGTATTTGAAAATACATTTTAAAAAGTAAATTGGATATGTGTGTTAAAGTATATATCCTTTAACTCCATAATGCTTTTACGGCTAAAAAGTAAGGAACAAAGTACTTGACTCACCCTAAATGTTTCCCAACAAGGAAATATGTAACACCCTTTTCAAAAGATTTAAAGTTTAAGTTTTTGAGAAAATTCTGCAAATCTGGGAAATCTCAAGGTATGCTGTTAAGTGAAAAGAAGAGGCTGAAGAGAACACACATAAAACATACATGAAGAGACACACACATACACATGCACATACGAAAGGAAACACTTATGAAGAGACACACAGAAAACATGTATCATGTGTGTGTGACTTTTATCTTAATTTTGTTTGAAAGTTTCTTAGAGGAAAAAGAAAAACCTTCAAAAATAGAAATAGTAACAGGTGCTTGTCTGTTTTCCCATTTGCTACCATGTGCTTGCATGTTTTTGTAAGAAAAATATTTATTTAGTTTTAATACAAAAACAAGAAGGAACTATATCAAAGTGTACGTAGTTGTTAATCATTGGGCTCAGAGAGGATGGTCTTTTCCTTCATTAGTTCTTTTCAGAGAGCACATTCCTGGGCCCTGGCTAGGGAATTGCACTTGTATCTTCAACTTTGCTCTTAACACCTGGCAGTGACTTATCAGGAAGCAACTCAGCAAGTATTTTATTGAACCCTGATATGCAAAATATCAATGCTTCATTCTGATTCCTTGCTGTGAATTCTAATGAGAAGTTTCACTGGGAGAATGTTTAAACTGAATTAAGGAAGATTTTTTCCCCCCAAATGATTTGTGTTTTGCTGCCAAAGTCCTTTGCCATAAAAGGTCTGTTTGTTTATTTTGTTGGGTTTTTGAGGCAAGGTCTTATTATATAACTCAGGCTGGCCTCAAACTTCTGATTCTCCTGCCTTAACTTCCTAATGCTGGGTTTACAGCTACCAAGCCCAGCTAAAATATTTACTTCTCTTATGGCTGAGTTTGATACTACCACTTCACCAGCTTGAGCCTGGGTGTTCCAAACTCTATGGCATTATCTGTATTCTAATTGACTCATTCTACTGTTCCCTAATGTAGAGGTGCTAGCTAGGTCTTAGGAATATCTCTGTATTTTTTTCATGACTTGTTTCTCCTGACTCTGGTGATCAGACCTTTAAGTAGAATACAAAAGACAAAGGAATTCATTTCTACAAAAGACACATCCTTCCTTTAATGTTTTCCAGTTTAAAAAAAACAGAATAGATAGTTTTCCCCATTTCTCCATTCTAAAATATTCATGAGCTGTTAAATGTGTCTGGATGTTAGAAGGCCACAACGTGTAGCTTATTGCCATTTCACTCATGGGATACAATCTTTATTCACATGTCTAGATTATTTAGCATGATAAGCCAAATTGAGAGAGGTTGGAAGAGAAGGGAAAAGGTGTGCTCACATACTACATAAATGACTAATTGTAGATAAAAGTATTTGACTTACCTGCAAAATACTGTACATGGACACCACAGCGTGAGAAACATTTTTACATGACAGATTCAAAAATAGATACAGTAAAGAACAATGTGGAATTGTCAAATAACCAAAAACCTTCTGGTGCTAACAAATGGTGATGTTCCATCAAATGTTATGCCCACTAAACAATATCTAAACAAACTCTTTACAAAGTCATTTTAAATTTGAAAATTGCCTAGGGAAAAAAATGCTAAAATATCCACCAAATTGCATTTTTCCAATTGCCAGAAAATAGCATCAACATTGAATGTGGCTACCCCAATTAGTGGCCGGCAAGTATTGTTCTTTTACGCTGCCTACCTTTCTCCTTCAACATTCTTTCTTTTGTTATAAATACCTTCATGAGGAAAATTAACTCTAAAACAAAACACCAACATAGCCACTGCAAAGATAAATAAAAATTGAAAAGCCAACCTTTATTCCACTTTGAACAAGTTTGTGAATATCCAAATAAGGCTCCTTGAAAATGTCTCCTGCAGGGGTCAGAATCTTCACGTAACCTTCTTTTTCCAGAATAAAGAGCCGGTGAGAGCCGTCCCCACTGTGCACCGCACCCACGGGCTGCCTTAGCCCGCTCACCACCTCCTGGACACAGAAGCAGTTGGGCTTGTGCTTCCTAAACGAATGGAAAATGACACCAACAGTAAGGCTTGTGTGTCTTTGTAGAGACAAAGGAGGGAGGGGAGGCGCTCATCATCCTTCCCAAAATCCCATTTCTTCTAGAAACCAATGGTTTTGCAAAGACACAGAGTAACTCACCCAACTCACACCTTTGTGTGATTCCTTTTCACCTTTTTAATGGAAAATAGTAAAATGGCTTTCTCTCAGAAAGCCAAAGTGAGGATCCAAAACATGAGTATTTAACATTTTCATCGGCTCATTATCTCATCTTGCAGTGGCTATAATTAAAATGGGCTTTTACTGACAATAATGAACCCCTTACAAGAAGGGACTGAGAAGGTTCTAAGATCTATTTATAAAAATCTGATTTGCTAATAATAATTGTACCGAATATTTCCACAGCACCATAAGCTTACAACAATCATAAAATTCAAGCTTAAAACTATGCCCATAAAATTCATATGAGTCATAGAGAAGCCAAGCTCGTAACATGGGATTAGTGGTCTAAGTATTAAAAGCATTTAAGCTATGATTTTAGAAAAGCAAACTACCCAAAAGAAAGCACCAAACGACTGGGGAATAGAGCTAGCTGCTGAACATAATAAGCACGCACAGTTGAGGGACTGTTTTTAAAACCACAGTTTTGTCACTTTTTTTTTTCTCTCAAGAATCAAGAACATTTATATGTATGGACCTGCTGATCTCCTCGGCTTTGTCATATTCTTCCATCTGATCCAAGTAGTTAGAGGCTGGCCCTCGGACTTGTTTTCTGGGAAAATCTGGAAAGCACAGCCCACCATCTTTTCTCGCATAGTAAAAGCAAAACTCCTCAGCCGTTGTTTGAAGGAAACCTTAAAAAATAAAATGGTGAAAAGACTCATCAGAAATACAGCATTGCAGCTGAACTACCTCATTTGGTGTCTTATTTTAAAAAGTATCTGAATATGCTAGGATAATAAGTAATGGAAATAGAAGGATGGATGGACAATTGGAATTGCATGAGGATTGGGGTGGGGGGGGGGGAGATAATTTCCTCTTTAACCAGAAAGAAAGAAATTAAGAACTGCAGGAAAAAGTGGCCTTGTGCGCGGCATATCCCAGGCTGGTAGGAAATGCACGTGATACCAGCTATGGGATGCTTGGTAACTACTGCACTGTCATTCCAAGCTTCCTCAGTGAGCGGTGAGCTGACTTCCTCCCTCTCTGGCATTTTCCCCTACTAAATTACTTCCTGAAAAAGACAAGTTACAATCAAGGAAGAGGCTATCAAGGACCAATGTGGGGTATTTTATAAGTCGTATTGGGTTGCCCCTCAGATGCCATTCAATAAGGAGCCCTATAAGAGAGAGAAAAGGAGGGAAAACAGAATCATCCTATTCAAGGGACACATAGGAAAATGGAATCAGGTAATTGAGGGGACCAGTGGGGTGGGGACAGATGGGTAAGGAATGATAAAGGGTGACACTGGTCAAGACCTGTTGCACCCCTAAACTGACATGTTGAACTGAAATGCCTCTGAACAACTACTTAAAGATATTTTTTTAATCTTTATAATAAATGACTGACTCCCTGTGTGACCTTCAAGTGGTAAGTAGAGGCTAGTACTAAGGCCTCTGTTTCTAAATAAGTAAAAAACATTTTCCCTGTACTTTATGTATAGATAATGATGATTTTGCAATTTGAAAATTCTATTTTATAAATGGCAATTTGTAACTTACCCTATCTAATCTTCTCATTGAACTAAAACACCCCTAGGAAGGGGCCAAGAACTGGAAAGTTACTTTTCTTTGAAAAAATATTCAAGCATTAGAAATTGGAGAGAGGACCAAAGGTTGTAGCATCATTTGTTTGTCTTGAGCAATTTACTACAACAGATAACTTTTCTCCTTCCATTCTTCAATGGCTAAGCACTTGGATGACAACTGCCTACTGGTGGTAAACAAGTCTCCTTGAGTAAAATTAAGAGAGGGAAAGTTCAACTTTGTTTCAGCACATAATCTGTACATTCCAACATTGTAGTCTGTCAATCAGTACCACCTCAAGAGCAATCAATGAGCAATGCTGGTGGCTGATACCATTTTTTTGTTGTTGTTGTTGGTTGTGGGGCTTGAACTCTGGGCTTGGGCACTGCCCCTCAGCTCTTCAGCTCAAGGCTAGTGGTCTACAACTTGAGCCACAATGCCACTTCCAGGTTTCTGAATGGTTTATTGAAGATAGGAGTCTCATGGAATTTCCTTCCCTGGGCTGGTTTTGAACCGTGATCCTCAGATCTCAGTCTCCTGAGTAGCTAGGAATATAGGCATGAGCTACCAGCACCCAGATGCTGATATCATTTTAAAAAGGATTTCTTATAGCTGGGGACAAATAGAAAGAAATGAGAAATCACTTTCAATTAGTCTCTCTTGAGAACACATTCATCTATATCCATAAGCTTGTGGCCCAGGAGGTAGTCTTGACAAATCATAAAAATACAAAAAATGGGTCTGGGAAGGTGGCTCAGTGGTAGAGCGCTTGCCTTGCATACACGAGGCCCTCAGTTGGGTTCCTCAGCACCACATAAGCAGAAAAAGCTGGAAATGGTGCTGTGGCTCAAGTGGTAGAGCGCTAGCCTTGGGCTGAAGAGCTGAGGGACAGCGCCCAGGCCCAGAGTTCAGGCCCCAGGACCAACAAAAAACAAACAACAACAAAAAAACATTAATAAGGAATCCTTCCTTTCATCTCACAAACCCCAGGCCCACGCGAGGAACCTCAGTGTGAAGGAGGGAGCTAGTGCTGGAGGCTTTTACTACAAAATGAGCACCTTTTTCTTGAAGGATCTGCTTTTGCTGTGGACGGTGATGAAACAGACCCATTTTGTTGTGAGGATTCAAAAAACATCTGATTTCAAGGCACTGATCAACATGTCTTTCAAGGGAAGATGAACCCTTCCGCAGCCCTCCACAGGCTCCCTGAGGAGTGGCTGGCTGGAGGCGAGATTCAGCCCGTTCCAGATTAGTAGAACGTGATGGGTGTGCACTGTCCATACTCACAGAGTATTGCAGTGGTTTTTGTTTATTGTTGCTGTCTGAGTGCACCAGTACCAGGGCTTGAACTCAGGGCCTGGGTAATGTTCTTTAGCTGTTTCACTCAAGGTTAGAATTCTCTCACATCCACGTGAACCACAGCTCCCCTTCTGGCTTTTTGCTGGTTAGCTGGAGATGAGATTCTCATAGACTTTGCCGCCAGGACTGACTTGGATCTCAGCCTGCTGAGTAGCTAGGATTAGGAGTGTGAGCCACTGGCTCCTGACGTGGGGATTCTAGTTCCGCTATACCATAGAAAACCCTACAGACTACTGACATGCAAAGCAGTTATCCCTAGGGAGCATTCTGTAGTCTAAATTTTCCCTTCTCAACGTGTATTCTAGAGAAGTTATCTCTCCTCCTTATATGTGTGTTCACCACGAAAAGGAAAAGAGGGAAATGAGCCCCCTGTGCAAAAGGGGCTGCACACGCACAGAGCGCGCTCTAATGGAGTGTGCGTCCATGCCCACTGGCTTGCTGTCCTTGGGACTAACAGGACATCTGTGTAAGGGATCTGATGTAGTTAGGAGCCATTGTGGGTTCCAGAAACTCAATAGACTCAAACTCTTGACCTTGGCCTCATTAGCGACAGGATTAAGCCAATTGAACTAATTGGGTGCAGACCTTTCACACTACAATAAACCAGGGCTGCAGAGATGACTGACGAAAACCATTATGATAACAGGTAGAGAGAAAGGAGGCGGGCTGGTGAATGGGTGGCCATTAGCATGCTTTCCACTGAGAGCATTAGCCACCTTTTAATGAACAACAGAGTTTCTACTCTGCTCATTCAGGTGAAAGAAAAAACTTGGGGGGGATGAAGAATAGAGCTCCTGTGTTACCTTAATGTCATTTCAGCATTTTGTTTTGTTTTGCTAATGTTGAAATGCGAGTTCCCTAACAACTAGAGAATAGTGAGGTTAATAAAATTCTTATGCATGCTTACTTATATTGCTGTTTAATTTCTTTTCCCATTTTTAGGTAGGAAATAAGTGACTCATGAGTGTTTCTAAATTACTATGTCTAGAAATGAACTAAATTCAGGCTATAAGAGTATTTGGAAATGGCCGGGCTATCGTTAGCCTATGAAAGAAAAGCAACAGGTGAGGTCATTTATATATTTATTTCTTCACATATTGAGCAACAGAGGGAAAAATGACTCTCTCTCTCTCTCAATTCTCTTAAAAAATTTTTTCTTTTAGAAAAAAAAATACCCTCTAGGATGCCTTCCTTCTCTTCAAGGATTTGATTTCTAGAAAGAAGAGGCCATTTGTAAGGGAAGTGAGATAGGTTGACAACTTTCTTTCTAAAAAAAAAAAATGTCAAAGTAGCTGTTTTCCACAATTTTGAACTGCCAAGAAAAGTAAACCATATTATTAAATGGACTTAGAAAGGTAAAATTCTGACAAACTTGCTCATATACCCATTTCTGAAAAACTAGCATTCTACAAGTCTAAAGATACTTTTCTGTGCAGCAAAGGTGGGAGGGGGTAGAGAGTCCCACCTTGTGCATTCTACTTTAGAAAATGGCAACCTGCTTTTCAAGGATCAATCTGTCTAACAAAGCCTGGGCCAGTGGTTCAAGTCTATAATCCTAGCTACTCAGGAAATTGGGATCTGAGGATCAAACCAGCTGGGGCAGGAAAAAGCTGCAAGTAGAGCTGTGGCTCAAGTGGTAGAATGCCAGTCTTGAGGGAAAAGCACCCTGGCACACTTGCAGACACATGCATGTGCATGCACACACACACAGACTCTCACACACACACAAATCTGGGTATCAATTAAATGATGCATAGAGTACCTTATTGCAGCTCACCTTGGGGACATGCATGGGGACAAGTATTTCAAATGATTATTGGTGTAAGCCTAGGAAAGACAGCCCTGTCTGCCTGTTGCTAAGGCCTATGCCTTCCATTGCGTAGAAGGCACCGGGCACTCTCTGCTTCGAGAGGAGAGCTTTCATCTGGTTATCTTTCAAGGCAGCCTGGGTGGCCACCAAGAGCACTTGACATCTTGATGCACTTCAGCAGTTTTACATATATACAAACTTTGGAGAAAAATAAATTTATCATTCGTCACCACATATGTTGACCCGGGGAGCGGCAGGCCTGCTTGCAGGACTCGCTCTGCACTGTCGGCTGAGCTCTCCTCTTGGGGGGGATGCCATGGGGGCTTTCTGAGGGGGAGGATGCTAAAAGAACGAAATACAGAAAGCCCCCCCCACCCGTCCCGTGAAGGGGCCCACATGCCTAGCAGAGAGCTCAGGGGGTTTCTGAGGGGAGCTAAAGGGAAGCGGAAGAGGGTTGGTGTCCCTTTCAAGGTGGGACAGGAAAAGCAGACTTGAACCTTTCTGGTTTATAGTCTGTTATCGCTTCTCGGCAGGCCATTGAGCAACTCTGACCTACTCCACCGTGCTTTGGGGAATGTGGTCAAGAGGAAGAAACAGCTGGGTTAAGAAAAGTCTTAGGAACGTGGCTGTAGTTTATAAAAACAATAATAATATTTTCCCATTCTGTGGATTTAGGTATACCTCGTGCTATACCCAAAGGGAGGAAGCTACTAGTCAAAATGTTTCTTTATTACAAAAGCACTTATAAGAGAATTCTATTGACCATAAAAATGTCAGGGAAAAAAAAAACATTAAAATGTATAGAGCAGTTAAAAAATAATCTCTAGTCAGGTGCTGGTGGTTCACGCCTGTAATCCTAGCTATGCAGAAGGGATCTGAGGATCCTGGTTCAAAGCCAGACTGGCCAAGAAAATCCATGAGTCTTATGACCAATTAACCATCCGAAAGCCAGAAGTGGAGGTGTGGCTTAAGTAGTACAGATCCAGCCTTGAGCACAAAAGCTAAGCAATAGCACTCAGGCCCTGAGTTCAAGCCCCAGTATCAGTACTGAAAAACAAAAAAATCTGTTGAGTACATGCAACAGTTCATAAAAGTTTGCTTTGTGTAACGTTGCCTAAGTAAACATAATTTGTCTCATTACATTTGTTTCTTCCTGTGTTGATTTTTCCAATTAAAGCAACAGCAACCCGCATTCACAAGGTTCTGATGATAAACTTAATCACAGCCTAGGGATGCATATGTTTATCAGAGTCTGAAATATGATGATGGCCAGGTGTGTTTGTGAGACCATGGGCACAAGCTCTGCATTTATCCAAAGCCTTCTCTGTGTACTCACTCACTGAATAAGGTAGGGACTCGGATTTTATCCTCTGTCCACTCTTCCAACCTTCACACAGGTTTCTGAGACTTAGCACTGGGCGTTTTCTGTGAAAGGGCTGTGTCACATGTGACATTTTGAGATTCCTAGGCATGTTCAATTTGTAGAGAACTCTTAGAAGTCAGTGGGCTTTTTCCAGTCACATGTCAGCTGTATAGAAGACACTATGTTAATATTGGCCGTGGGAGGGAAGGAAGACTCCAACAAAAAATTTGTATTGGGTAGAGGTGGACAGCATGCTTAGCATGCTCAAGGCTCTGGGTTCAGTCCTTAGGTCAAAAAAAAATCAAAAAAGAAATCTGTACTGATAAGCTAATGTGTGTAAAGTCTGCCACCTATATTAGTGTGCGTGTTGTGTGTGCGCACGTGCGAGCATGCATACCAGTTCTGCGGCTTGCAGTGCCCTGGTGCTCTCACTCGGCTTTTTTAAAAATTTTCACTCAAGGTTGGTACCCTATCACTTGAGCTGTGCCTCCACTTCTGCCAATTTGCCAGTTAATTGGAGATAATAGTCTCACAACATTTTTCTGCCAGAGCTGGCTTTGAACTAGGATCCTCAGATCTCAGCCTCGCAAGTAGCTAGGATTACAGGATAAGCCACAAGTGCCCAGCTCTATAATATTGATTTACCCCCCACACTGTAGACTGATATTATAGTACTTTTTTGATATTAGAGTACTTTTCACAGCAATGAAAGTTACTTAGAAAGCAAAGCAGGGATTCTGAGAGGTGAGTGCTCAGCGATAAGCATTTAAGACCAGCTGTCTTGTCAGGGTATATTGCAATGATTAATTTATGCTTTTCTTCTTTTTTTTTTCTTACCTGGAATATGACCTCGGCAAGTATAAAAGAATTCTTTGCAGTAGTCCGGGCAGAGCAGGGGCAGTACTAGGTCTCTTTCCAGGACTTCTCTCTCGGGTGAGTGAAACAGGCTCTGAGAATGCGGAGAACAGGGTGCGCACTTGACTTCCTCAAGCAACCTACCACATTCTGTGTTGTTGGTAGCAGAAAATATCTGAAAGCCAAAAAAAATCAAAATTGAACATCTTTTTTTGATGCATGAGGTTATGGCAGGCTGTTTGGAAATCACTTAAGTCAGGAAGTTTTCTTCAGACTATGAAACTCTCTGGAAAGACTCATTGTGCCACCTTAGACAGGGTTCCTTGATAAGGACTCCAGGGGTCTTGTGTGTTCCTCAGGACACACACGTGCTTCTGACCCACGCAAATTAAAGACTATGAGTCTGGTTTTCCAGCGAGGAAAATTCAAAGATAACTCCATCTAGACCGCTTAACTATTTATCACTTCATTTTTGCCTTATATACTAAATTTTATTAACCTTCAACAATTCTAACACAAGTTTTTTTTAAAGATATGGCTTATTTCTTAGGTGAAAATCTGTTTCATACCTGAAATTCCTAATATGATAGTCTCAAACCTATATGTGAATAACATTTTTAACTTTCAATCTGCAAACTCCAGGGGGAAAGTTTTCTAAACTGCCTTTCATGTTCTATAAAAATACCCGAAGCTGAATTAAATAGGTTTAAGACCAAATTTTATTATTCATTATATCATAGCCAGGAAAAATTTTCTAACTAGCTGCTCAGGTATGTTATAAACATGAACAAACACAAGAGTTTAATGAAAGTGCTTTTGTATAGCAGTGAATTTTAAAGGAAAAGCATACTTTTAGTTTTATTTTTTTTTCAACGATGTGTCTTTTATTTCAGTAAGACCAATTAGGGACTTACTGATTCACTGATGTCAGCAATACATAGGTAGAAGAGGCCTTGATATTAGATTTTGAAAACCTGATCAGGGGTTTCCTTAATACATAGAGAAGACAATGTCAGCTCAATATTTGAGGAAGAAAACATGCTATCTCAAGCATGGATTCTTTTTTTCAGAATATGAGATAATATAAAGTGAATTAAATTTATCTTTTTCCTCATTTATCCAACTTTGAATTTCTACTAAATGACTTCTTTGGAACTATGTGCCAAAGTTAAAAGTTTTATAATATTTCATTACAAGTTAAGTTTCTAGTTTGAAGAAATCAATGGCTTTTGGATGAGGATATTATAGAGATCATTAAAAAAAATTGATCCAAAAGAGCAAGACAACTTAAAAACAAAAACATTGAATACAAGCATGTTGAAATCTGATATGCAGTACTTTAAAGTCCAGTAGAAATTATACTATCTCGGTGGGCAAAAGATCCAACCATATGATTGATATATTAGAATTACCTACAATATTCAAAAAAAAGTTATTAGTTATGGTCCTATTTTTATTTTAGCTATTTATTGGGCGAATACTTCAAATTTTGTAAACTGAAACATACACCAGACAGCTAGAATTTGCATTCCAAGAATGTTTCAAATATCTTTTATTCTCCATACTCTGGCAAATCTCAACAGACCTGTTCAATATTAATAAAGTTCATCTTGATTCTGTTTGTTTATCAGAGAGCAATCCACTCAGAATAAAACAACTGCAGATCATTGAAGCTACCACCTCTTGCTGCCTGAAATTAGATTGTAATAACTTTTGTTTTTATGGAGAAAATGGATGCTTCCTTTTTTTTTTTTACTGACACAACATGATCCCTATATATTCTGCCAGCTGCTATTCAGGAGGAGCTTGGTGTTAGTGCCTAAAGAATTTGATCTTTTACAATTTGGAATGTGTCCTGGCCACAAGCTCTCTCATCAAAAGTTTCAGAAGGAGGATTCAGTAAATCGAGTATCGGAAATCAAGTATAATATTATTCTTTGTAAAGCTGCATGCTGTTCCGACTCAGCAGGATGGTCACATTCTGCTTCGTGTGAGGGCTGCAGCGCATACCTATTTGAAGATAGATAGAGCCATCATTCTGGCTTTGGTTTCAATGAACCAATGGTCTTACTGAAGTCAATTAAACTGACTCAGCCCAAGCTGCAACACTGGTTTAGACAGATGAGTAGTTGGGGGGGGAGGGCAGTGATTTTTTTTCTTTCCTTTCCTTTTCTTGTTTTTGGCCATGTGTCTGTGTTCATGCAGATCTTCAACTTTATGTCTGACAATGCCATCAATCTTAAGAAGAAATTTAAGCTAATTTCCTGTTTTGATTTTTAAAAGCCAAATACAAAAAAAAAACCATCAAATTATGGTGATTTAAACTAAATATACTTTGGAAATCATGTACAACTTTGAAACATCATTACAGCATGCTTAGTAATGATTGTGGCTCCTGATGACTAAGTTGGAACATCTGGCAGGTCATCCTTTAACCACTGCCTACTATGAAAGTGAAATACATAGAAGAAAGGTGAGATAAATACTAGAATACAGAATAAAGGCCTAGCCTACAACGATAGCTTATCAATAAACAGTAAAACAGGCAACAGAAGGCTTCTGTATTTCTCCTTATTTATAAATGAATGAAACAAGGTAACCCACACGGGTTCAATGAAGGGACAGGAGAAGAAAATCTGTGACAGTCCATTGAGATATTGCCTTAAAATGGCTTAGTACACACACACACACACACACACACACACACACACACACACACAGAAAAGTTATTTCTAAAACATCATATGCCTACAAGGTTGTTCAGCTGTTGGGTAGAACACATGCCCCTCCGGACTATAGTGCTGGATTATGTCATTACAGAGTTCAGTTTCAATTTTAGGCTAATATGTAAATAGATCATTGTACTAAGGCAGCTGTTAAAGGGACCCCAGGATGAGTTATTTGTTTAGTTTTGGATGTGTTCAACAATAGCCTTTGTCCCTGAAAGAGCCAGAGCAAACAAATGATTGTAAAAGGGCACACTTGAAAACAATTACTTTTCACCCATTCCTTGACAGCTTTGGCTGCAAAACCACCCAAGGTAGAGAGAACTTCTGTGCTTGTTTGGCTACAAGTTTTAGAAATGAGAGTGTTTCAGTTGATTCCAGATTCCATTTAGCTAATGGGAATTAGATCCTTGTCACAAGCTGCACATAAGAGCTGCAAAAAATATTGCGAAGACTTATGTTTGTCCTAACTTTTGGCAGAACTTATTTTTTAATGGTAGTTAACAATCTAGAATACGTAACATGATGGAAATACACCAAGATGTAAAACATGATACTATACCATGTCCAAGGACTTAAACTCAGTGGTAGCTCATTAAACATGTTAGTAGAGATTTCTTTGCATAGCTAAGCATGCCCAGTATTCCTATGGAGTTTGATGCTATTTATATGTCTAAGAAATTTCTTTCCTGAGGAAAAAGCTACTACTGCAGTTTCTAGAAAAGCTGCAGAAATGAAAAAAAAATCCGAATTTTTTTCTTTCACAAACAAAATAGGGTTCTTTCAAATGATCGTCATTTCTCCTGTACACACATTATGAAATATGACCGTAACATATATTATAATCCAGGAAGGCTTATGGAAAAAAAGGGAAACACTGATGTTTATTATAAAATAACATGTTTTAAAAACTATTAAAATTTGAGAACTCACGTAAGTCAAGAATGCCTTTGCACAACTCTATTGAATCTCTGTTTTGAACAATTTGGGTACTGTTCGTTTATAAACCACTTGCAATGGAACCAAGAAAGTCTAGTGGACCTAACTTAATTCAGACACACTTTCCAAAAGAGTAGGGGTTGTTGGCTACTGGAAACACATAAAACAGAAAGGAATTTGGATAGCTGTCATGGCAGATTGCTTCCTTAAAAAATGATTTCCTCAAGAGAAAATCAAATATAGGCTCCCTTAAGGGATTAACTCCCCCTCCCCCTGCCGGTCCTACCACCCATCCTCTTCTCCCAACTATACTTATTTGAGAACAAAGTTTTCATTCTGCATCTTCCTGGAAGATTCCAGGCATCTAGAGACACCCGGGGACCTTTCCTGACAACTGTTTCTAAACCTTCTCTGAATTTCCGGGTTCTTGGGGGGCTCCTGGGAAAAACCTTTAAGAAATCTGAATGTAGCTGGCTTTGTAACTTAATTCAATTAGAATCCTGGCGCTTAATGACATTGTTTGGAATACAACGCTTTTAGTATCCGTTCCCGGGTCTCACAGCGGCGGCTGCATATGGTAAGAATAAAGGGTGAGTTGCAGCCGAAGCCCTGTGGCAAGACAGTTCTCACTCATCTGGGAATAGAGCGAGCTGGACAAACGCTCCCTCAAGAGGCATGGACATTTGGACAGAGCCGGGGATTGAAAGAGGACGACGTTCTCTAGCTTCACCCAGTAGAGAACCCACTAACAAATACAATGGTGTTGTTGTTATTCTTTTGCCATAAGCAACAGGGCTCCGTGTGTGGGCAGCAGTTTAGTGGGGAGGAGGAGAAGTCGACCCCTTTTTGTCCTATTGATTTTTTTCCCTATTTGCATGACTTGAGCAAATTAAATGATGCAATATGGCTTTTTGTTACAAAACAAAGTGAGATACCACCCAGACACATATGTTGATTCGTCGGAGCTGTTTACATGAGAATGGAGGGAAATCTACCGTGAACTGAGCATAAAAATTAGATTCAGCCGGGTATTTTTTTAGTGCCTGGGCCGGCCAGACTGGAGCACAAGTTTTCCAAGTCTCTCAGGTCTTTGACAACTGCAACGTCCCAAGAAACCTAAAATGGGGAGAAGGGGGGGGGGGGGGCCGGGACACCTGATGGTTTGATTGTGAACACGCGCGCAGGCGCGCACACACACCCCGCAGAGCGGTGCCGCACCCGCACCCCGCACGGTGCGCACCCCGGGGGGACTCGCCGTCCTCCCCCCGCCCCGCCCCGACGCCGGGCCCTGGCCGGCTGGCCGGCGCGGACAGCCGGACCCCACGGCGCTGCAGCCCGACGGGGGAGCGAGCGACCCGGTCTTGGGTGCTGAGGGGCGTGGGGACCCCCCTCGGGCCGAGGGGGCAAGGGGTCCCCCAGCGGGGTGCGACGCCCCCTGCCGCCCCGCGGGCCCCTCCTGCGCCCGGCCCGCGCGCGCAGGAGCCGCAGCCCCCCGGGGGCGCGGGTCCCACGCGGCCCAGCGCCCCGCGCGGAGGCGCCCGCCTCTCTTTTCCTCATCAGGATGAGCGATCCAGCAGCCCCGCTCGCCCGCGGGGGGCCGCGGCCGCCGGCGCCTCCGCCCGCACCCCGGGGCGCACGGCCGGGAGGTGGGAGCCGGGCCGCCCCGACGAGCGAGCGGAGCCGCGCGCGCGCGCGCCCCGGGGGAGCGGCCCCGCGGGCCCGGCCCGCGCCTACCTTGTTCTCCAGGCGGCCCAGGCCCCGGCTGTCGGCGAGCAGGCAGCAGGACAGGCGCGGGTAGAAGCCGCCGCACAGCACGTCGCCGCCGCCGCCCGCCAGCGGCTCCAGCTGGGCCAGCAGCCGCCGCTCCCGCCGCTTCAGGCGCCTCGGGGGGCCGCCGCTCAGACAGCGCCTCCGCCGCGCGGCGGCCGCCTCGCCCCGCTCTCCGAACTTGGCCTCCCCCTCGAAGAAGCCCAGCGCCACGGCCAGCAGCAGCAGCTTGAACGAGAGCATCTTCAGCATGGTCCGCGCGCGGGCGCGGGGGGACCCCCGCGGGCGGCCGCGGGACCCCCGGGCGGCGGCGGCGGCGGCGGGGCGGCGCGGGGTGTGCGCGGGACACGGCGCGCGGCGGGGTCGGGTGGCCGCGGGGGTCAGGGGCTCGGCGCGGCCGCCGGGAGGCGGGGGGCGGCGGGGGCGGCGGAGGAAGGAGACGGGGAGCCGCGGCTCATAGAGGTCCCCTGGTCCCGGGACCGGGAGCGGTTAGGTGAGACGGTAGCAGGCACCGAAGGGGCGGCGGTGGCGGCGGCGGCGGCGGCGGGGCGCACGCGGGAGATGCGGGAGATGCTGGAGGAGACGCCGCGCGGGGCGCCGCGGGAGATGCTGCGGGAGACGCCGCGGGGTCCTGGGCGGGCGGCGCGGCTCCGCGCGCGGCTCTCATGTTTCGTCCGCTCTTCTCTTCTTCTTTTTAACCAGCGCGCGGGGAGGCGCCGCCACCGCGCGCCCCGTGACGTCACCGCTTCCCGCGCGCCCCCGCCCGGGCTGGGGGGGAGGGAGGTGGGAGGAGGGAAGGGCGGGGGCGCGCGCCTCGCCCCCCGCGCGCCCCGTCGGGGGTGTCCCCGGCCCGGCTCTCCCTCCCGGCAGGGCCAAGCCCGAGGCGGGGCGGGGGGGCGCGATCCGGAGATCCCGGCCCGGAGACCGGGGGAGAGCGGGGTTGCCCGAGGTGAGGAGGGAAGGGTCCCCCAGGACCTGATCCTCAGCCCGGGGGGCGGGTTGCGGGCGGACCCCGAGCGGCGCGAGCCGGCGTGGGGCTGCCCGAACACCACCGTGCGCGTGCGGGGCTGGGGGAGCGTTGGGGGTTCGGGGTAGCAGGTCCCCCCTCCCCAGTCCGCCTCCCGGAGGGTTGCGGGGCTCCGGCGCCTCCTTGGAGAACCCCACCTCCGCCCTGGGGCCGAGCCGCGCCCGCGGACACCTGTCCCTGCCGTGGGGGGGGGGGGGGCTGCTGGGAGAATCCGGGAGCCGTCAGCGTCCACGGTGCATCTCCCGGGTGTGCGCACGGAGGTGCTGCCCGGTCGCCGGAGCTGCCCGCGCGGTCGGTGCCCGCGCACACCCCGCGGCCGTCCGAGCCCCGGGCGCGGCCGACCCCCTGCGCACGGTCGGGGTGCGGGCGCGGCCCCCCCACCCCACCCCCACGTTCCAGACCCGGGTCCCGGGCTCGGGCGCGTGGCTGAGGTTTTACTTCATATTTACTATTGATGGATTTGGTGTTTAAAGAGTATCTGGGAAGAACTGCCTGCCGGGGTGTTTGTGTCACCGCAGGGCGCAGGGCCCCGGACCCTGGCCACAGCTCCTCCTGCCCGGGCCACTTCCACGGTAAATCACCGAGGGCGCTACCGCCGAGCACACGTGGATCCGGAGCTGGATTCCCAGGCTCCAGCCACTTACACGGTCGCCTCTGATTCGCGACCCCCAGAACCCAGTCTGAAGTGTTCCCCACTAGTCACCCCCCCATCAGCTGTGTCCTTTACCCCAAGTAAAGATCCGTGTAAAATCCTCTTTCAGCACATGCGCATTCGTAGTGCGCCTGCCTTCCTCGTGAAAGCCTTGGCCCACGCGTGAACCTAACACCATGGATAGAATTTCTGAAGAGCAGCGCTACCCAGCACACCAACTTCCGCAAAGGAAACAGGAAAGCACACGCAGCTAGCTCAACAGTATAGTTTCTTAGGAGTCAAGAATGGGCGCTGGATCATTTCCTAGGATGAACCCTGGGACTTTCCCTTGGAGACTGCCACTGGGGACCCGGGCCGTCCCCTCGCTTGGATGTGAAAGTCATCCTTAGCCGGACTTCCAGAAGGGGTCAGAAGATGGGACCCTAGTCTGGTCAGACTCTTCTGGAGAAGCGAATTGCAAGCTTTTGGCAAGAATAGAGCTGCACCAGAGGTCACTGCTGTACTCATTTCACTGTAGACAAGCCCTACAGCACCACCCCACCCACCGGAGCTAAGGAGAGTTGTTTGCCTGGCTTCGGGTGAATGAATGAATGATCCTCATGAACAAATGATCAAAGATGCAGTGTTTGATATAAGTTGAAATTAACCTCCTAGGTAAAGCTAAAAATATCACCGTTTATGGGAGTTATTTATGTGAGTAAACGTGTGTATATATAGTAAGATGGTTATATATTTCTATACATTAAAAGTAGGACAGCTTTAAAAAGTAAAAGAATTTAGGGCAATTCAAATTTGGTAAAGGTTTAAAATAAAGCTATTTGGGGTTTTGACACCATATATATATATATATATATATATATATATATATATATACACCATATATACATATATATATGTATATGTATATATATATATAGCCTTCCCAGAATATGTACTATTGAATTCCATTTCAGTAGATTATAGAGTGTTGGTCATGGTGCTGAGCAATAATTGTAAACAGTAAGGAAAATGGTACCAATCCCGTCTCCAGATAGTTAATCTGATAAGGAAGACACCTGAGAAGGTCACAAATCAATTTATGTGATAAATTATGATCATGACCATGAAAGATTTGCCAAGGTAGAGAGTAACAAAACACCTCCACTTCAGATTAAGTGACTGAAGCAAGTCCCTAGAGAAAATCACAGGAGAGTTTATGAAGTGACTCCACCTGCCATTCAAGGTATAGAAGTATTTGAGTTCAGAACAGATTTCTATACATTCAAGAGAGGGCATAGAATCAAGTACCTAAAGGGACAAAAGAGAGATCAGAGGTCAAATTCATAGTTTTGTAGTTTATGAACTGCAGGTAGCTAATGAAGTCAGTTGTCATTTAAATGTCATTTGCTTTTGTAAGTACTCTTTCTTCTTTCCTACTCCATCCCCATCCATCTTTGCCTCTTTCTTTAAATCTTGGCTTAACACAATCTCCTCTAACCATTATTCTCCTTTGGAGAGGCCTCTGACCACTGCATCTTATTTAGCAAGCATGTATGTGTTACATTGATTTTCCTTTGTGCATTTTGGAAAACCATCAGACTTTAGTAGGTGTGAACTGAATGTCAGTAGGAGTTAAGAATTACACCCCAGCTGAGTCTAGGTCAGTCTTGTGTGGTTACAGTGATCAACCTCTCAATAAATGCTGCTGACTGGCTGACCTTGTTTGATGTGACACTTTTTGAAGGCTTAAAGTGGAAGGAATGTTTGCATTCTAAATCTTTGTTAAATAGAAGGGAAGGCACAATTGAAAGTGTACCTAGGTTCAGGTCTCCTGAACTTGGACTACAGTGTAATCCCATAGAGGAGAGCCAATTCATTAGGTCAAAGGGGAGATGGATGGATAGATAGCTGATAGATATATAAAATAGGGAGATAATAGAGACAGAAAAGTAGGTATAGATATAGTAGATAGATCTTTTATAAATTTTCTATAGATACATAGATAACAACTGTGACTTTATCTATATTCTTTCTTTTGAAAGTTAGCACCTGTGTGCTCTGAGGACTAGGAACACAGAAGGGAGCAAACAAACACTTGTTCTAAAGATTGGCAAATTGATACAGAATGTGCCAGATGGTGAGAAAAGGAATCATGGGGAAAGAGGGAACAGGGGTGAAGGAAATCACATTTTATCGACTTTGTCTGGGCAGGTGTCTGCTGAGAGGATCTTTAGGCACACCTCCTCAAGCAACAAGCCATGTGCACGCAGCTATCTGTAAGCATAGGAAGAGCCAGCCAAAGGGAATGAGGTAAGCACACTTGGTATGTTCAAGGATTAGCAAAGAGGCCTGCATGACAGAGCAGAGCCTACTGAGAAAATGACAGGAATGAAGCAAAGAGGTAGCGTAGGCCCAGTCCGTAGTATCCCATGAGCTCTGTTATAGACCTAAGCTCTTACTGAGTGAGATGGTTTTTGGCCAGAAGTATTATCAGAAATGAGCTGTTCATTGTTACAAAAAAGTGAATTAAATATAAGGAATTGGATAATGAACTGTGTGTCAGAGAACCAGAGAGGAAGGGGGAGAAGGAGGAGGAAGAGGAGGAGGAGGAGGAAGAAGAAGAAGTAGTCGTCATGGCAAGAAGCTGGACTTGGCACTGTCTCTGCAATCTTCAGCTCAAGGCAAGTGCTCTACCGTTTGAGCCACAGCGCCACTTCTGGTTTTCTAGTGGTTTATTGGAGATAAGAGTCTCATGGAGTTTCCTGCCAGGGCTGGCTTTAAACCTCGATCCTCAGATCTCAGCCTCCTGAGTAGCTAGGATTACAGGTGTGAGCCACCGGCACCCAGCTCTACATTTTTTTTTTTTAAACACAGATAATAATGGCTGATCACTCTTTATTTTCTAAATTTATGAAAGCCATGTCATATTGTCAATAAATGCTCCCTTTTTTCAGGCATCTGCCAGGTTATGTCTCCCATCACACTGACAGGTGAGTATTAGCCTTCCTCCCTGGCCTATCTCCAGTCCTGAAAGGAGGAATGCTTCCCTTCTGGCTTTGGGTGCTCCATGTTTGGTTGGGGCCGTGTTCTCTGTTGTGCACCATTGCACTGGACTTACCCATTTGCTTTCCACCTTTAGGAAGAAGTGGAAGCAGTTCGTCCACGGGCAAACTCCCTCCTGTTCTTTTCCCTACTCTGTATTTACCCCTTCCTCTTTGTACTGAGAGATAATTAGGATCCCAAGAACAAGAAGTAGTGGATTCATTCATGGCCTTGTCTGGCAGTCCTGAACTGGAATCGATTGCTAGTTATTTTTATAAAACTGGAGATGATGCTTTTTGCTGAAACTGGAGATCATGTTTTTCCTGAAACTCTTTTTCTTCTTTCATCGACACTACTGATCAGTTTATCCTCCCTTAATTTTGTCTTTCCTTCTTTTGTCAGCTCCAATCTTAACAGGTTTTTTCTGTGCATTTGGATGTGATTTCTCGCTCTCTACTTCCTCTTTAAATCTTTATATGTGTTTTTATACTTCAGTTCGACATCTCTGCTTAAATAGCCAAGAGTATTCAAACTCAGCAAACCCCAAACTGA